GAACTGACTGGTGAGTTGGGGGACTGGTAACTGCTGGATGATGGTGGTGGTTCACGAGGCGCGCGCAGCGTCTCAGAGGGTGGGGTGCACCCAGTCCACGCGCCAGAAGCGGGCACTCTGATCTAGCGTGGACAGGGTCCAGGGCGTCGGGACCGGTGGCGTCGTCTGCCATGTGGGCCCGCACACGGGGGGGCGCGCTTGCCGAGTCTACGGTCAGCGGCGCAGGCCACGCAGCGAGCAGCGAGCAGCGGCGTGGCGGAGCGCCCGCGACTGTTGTCGCGTTGCCGGGAACGTGCAGCTGCACAGCATCGGTGCGCGGCGCCACGGGTGCCTGCCGGTAGCGGACGAACGCGACCGCTTTTGCGCCTGCCCGCCTCGGTGACCGTGCGCGTGCGTGCCATGGTTGTTGGCGAGCGTGCAAGGTCCGGCGTGGTTGGACCGTTGGAGCCTCGTTGGTTGGCTCTTGCGACGCTAGCCGCCGCCGCCGCTCGGCCGGTGACGGTGCCACGCGCGAGCATCTGGTCGTAGGATGATGCGACGGGGAGGGGTTCGGCTGTATCACCATGCATGCCAATATACCATGCCAACCTGTACGTAGTACGTACGAGGTCACCGTCGGTCGACTTCACTCACGGGCGGGCGCGCCAGATCCAGCCATGATCCATCCCACGTTGGAGTCCGGTGATGTGGGCGAGGGGAGATGTGCCATGGTAGGGTAGTACTGTACAGTAGAGTACCATGCATGCATGCAGGAGCGCCAAGAGAAACAGAACTCTCCATCGGCCACGATCGCCGCATCACAAGTTGCGTTCGGGGACTGAAGAATGCACATGCGTGTCTGCTCAGCAAATGCCGCTCCAGACACCGGGTTTTGGAAGCGTGCACGACATTTCAGCAGACCAAATCCAACGCCAGTTTTCTCCATCTCATCAAGCGCGACTCGATCGATCACAGCCCCCGGCGGCCGGACACGGCCAGCATGCGGGTCACTCTCTTTACAGTAACTCCAACGCGTCTGACTGTACGTGCGGAATCGTGACCCAATGCGTCCATCTAAACGTACAAGTGTCTATTTTCCGTCCACATGTGACTCATTTCAAACCTAAATTTGAGCTTAGTTAGCGTCAGCGCGGACATGAAGCGGACGCACGGGCAAGACTGCGCACGGGACACCCGCCCTTGCCTTCCTCCTCCCCTGGCCGGTCAGTCGGTGGCACATTGGCCATTCCCCCTCCCTCTCCCATTTGCAGCCGACACTCGGCCACCCCCGCCTTCTCTGCCGTTGCCCAGTTTCGACCGATGGGACACTGCCGAGGCCACCGCCCTTGCCCACACATCTCCCCCAGCAGCACGCCGCACACTGACGACTGAACTTGCCGGTGTTGATGGCCTCTGCAGCCACCGCCGTAGCACCCGCCACGACCACGCCACCCCTACCCTCCGCCGCCGCTGGAAACGCTCTGATCCCGGTGCCTCCGCTGCCACTGTAGCCTCAACGTCGATAGGCCTGTTGCCTGGACTGGAGGACAGGTGGTGCTCTTCGCCGGCCGGCTTCTTCCACCACGCTAGCAAGGTGTTCTATGTTTTACCCGCAAGGTACAAATGGATAGTGGATATGAGTAAATTTTTTTCAACAACTTCATTTGTGATTCGGACAATCCGTCACCAAACGATGAGGATATGGTAGTTGTTGTGTTGGTCGTCCATGACCACATTGCTAGGCAGCGGCTGATGTTTAGGGGCTTGATCGCGGGCCATCTTTCGGCGTTGAATTGCATCAGGGAGATGGGACACTGCCTACTTTGGGATGACTACTTCGCGTCTGGTGATCAACTGTTCAAACACAAGTTATTCCGGCGTCGCTTCTGGATGGCTAGATATGTGTTCAGTTGTATCCGGGAGGGGTTTGTGGCCTACGATGATTATTTCGAATGCAAGTCGGATGCACTTGAGAAAGTTGGCTTCTCCTCTTTTCAGAAATGCACTGCAGCTATTCGGATACTTGCATACGGAACACCCGATGATCTTATTGACGAGGACGCCCGCATGAGTGAATCCACCTGCCTAGATTATATGTACAAGTTTTGCAAGGCTGTGGTGGCAGTGTTTGGTCCAGGGTACTTGAGAGAGCTAACTGCTGCATACACAATCCGGTTGTTGGAGATCAATGCAGCTAGAGGCTTTCCGGGTATGCTTGGTAGCATAGATTATATGCACTAAAAGTGGAAAAAATGTCCATCTGCTTGGCAAGGGCAGTATAAGGGCCAAGTGAAAGCTTGCACTGTCATTCTTGAGGCCGTGGCTGTACAAGATCTCTAGATTTGACACTCTTCTTTCGGCATGGCCGGCTCCCACAACGACATCAACGTGCTTCAGCATTCTCCGGTGTTCGAAAGGCCTACATAACATAATTGCCCAAATGTCAATGTTGAGAACAATGGCCACCACTACAACAAAGGATACTACCTAGCTAATGGTATCTTTCCTTACTGGACTATCTTTGTGAAGATAATTCCCAACCCGGTAGGAGAGAAGAGGCAGGGATTTGCCCAAGCACAAGAGAGTGCTAGGAAGGATGTGGAGCATGTTTTTCGTGTTCTTCAATCTCGATAGGGCATCGTTCAGTATCTTGCTAGAATTTGGAGCACCAAGAAGTTGTGGGAGGTGATGTCTGCTTGTGTGATCATGTACAACATGATCGTAGAGGATGAGCGTATGAATCAAATCTATGACCAAGGATTTCAATTTAGAGTGAAAATGTTGTGCCTGAGCATGTAGGAACGGCAACATTTGCACAGTTATCCATTTTCATCATGAAATGCATGATTGAAAAACTCACATTCAACTACAAGATGATTGGGTGAGCATATATAGGCTCTCCTTGGCAATCAATAGATGTATTGACTCATTTCTTTCAAATGTATTTGTGCCCTCGCTGGCGTCGGGCCGGTTAAGGATCCCCGAGTCAGAGGTGCGGGCTGCACGACACGTGGGAGGCCCTAGCGTTGGCGATGCGTCGGCGGGGTATTGGGAAATCACGTGCACTTCGGTCAATCCCGAGGACACGCAACGACGGAATCTGATGTGCAATGGCTCGAGCGGAAAAACGCCCAAATGCTCCGGCTTGCCATCGAGTTGTCGGAGCGCGAGGCGTCGGTGGAGACAGCGGTGAAGGTAAAGAGGCAAATCGAGGAGCAGGAGCGCTAGCTCCGGAGGCTTGCCGGGGGTGCAGATGGATCTGTTGGACGACAACAACAACGGATCAAGCTCCGACGACAACAACGATGACCCTCCGGTGGCCGACGCCTACACTGATGGCCAAAGCAGCATCGCCGACTGCAAGGGAAGGAGGTGGCCAGGGAATGGTGGGCATTCTTGTTTCATTAGGTATTTGCTCGTATGTTTACGTACTGTCATATTTTAGTTGTCCGATGATCGTTTAAGTAGATTTGATGCTAGTTCGTTGATCTATGTAGATTTATTTTCATGCATGTGGCATGGATATGACGGATCGAATTTGAGATAATACGAATGCGGACGCATCAAAATGAAAAGTGTCCGGTGAGTGCCCCAGACACGTCCGAGCACATTGGCGGGGCGGATTCGGTGTACGTGTGTAGATGCTCTCATGTAGGTGGGGCTAGATCAAATCTCCCGATTGATTGAGCCATCGAGTGATTCGCGCTCACGGGCTCTCTCGCCCAGTTCTTGGCTTGGCCTTGTCGATGGGGGTCATGCGGTGCATTCGTCGCTAGCGTATCAAGTACAGACAAACCCACACCTGCCTGCCTGCCCGAGATGTTCCAAAACACATGACTGCATTTAATTTTTTTTCTTGCTTTTTTGAAACGGCAACGGCCGCGAGGTGGCGACGACGCTACGGTCAGCGGGCGAATAGCGGCGTGGCGGAACGCTCTGGCGCGCGCGCGCTCCGCTCCGACTGGCATCGCGCGGTCACGGGGCGTCGGCATCTCGCAGCGGCGCCGCCACGGGTGCGCTCCCGCCTGCCCGTCGTCGCGTGGCGTGCCCGCCTCGCCTCGGTGCATGGCATCGATCGGGATCGAGTTGCTTCCGCGGCTGGGCTGGACGACAAGGTCGTACCGCATTGTCGCGATCCGGCTGGATTCCGGTAGCTTCGCCGGTGACGCCTCCCGCTCCGCCACCGTTTTTCCAACCGACGG